CGGCTCCTTCTAGGAACCATTCTTTGGGCTATTAGTGCCCCTTAGCAAACGGAAGGAGTGAATGAAACCTAGAAGGTACCCCGGACCTCTCTTACTGGTCTGTTCCTTTTGGCTTTCTGCTGGAGGTGGGTCATGGCACCAGGCGGGGAGCTCTGTGACATGATGGGTAGGGGTATTGCACCACTTAAAAAGCACCAGATGCTCCCATCTTCATTTTCTTTCCTATGATCACAGCCTAGACACCAGATTGAGCCTAATTCCTGCAGTTGAGGTGGGGCTGGGATGTAGTCCTCCCCAGATGTTGAATATGTTTGGTTGGTGTTTGGTATTGAGTTAACCATGTAAAATTAAAAGTTGCCAATGTTGATCTGACTTCTAATCCGTCTAAGTACCCTGCTGTGCTCTTGGGAGAACTTTTAACTATTAAGGTTAAAACAAACCATCAACCTTCCATTTTCTCTTGCTTTCCCTACAGAAGACACAGAAAAATACTCTCACCTCAAGGTCCTGTCTCTGGGATAAATCTTTAGGGTGACAAGAGTTTGCAGGAGGAAGAAACAAAGGGAGAAAAAGCCAGTTTGTCAGCACGGGGCAGAGGGGAAGACAAAGTCTAGGCAAGAAGTGGGTAAATACGGCTATTGTCACGGCTTTCCCTGTTCTTGGAAACTGTCAGCTTACTGGCTCGCTTGTGTTTCCAGGTGAGGTAAGGTAAAGGTGAGATTCAGAAAATAGACATTCAGATCAGGGAGAGCCCTCGGGAAAGGATACATTTGGGCTGTCTTGTTTCTCTGACTTAGGTTTTTTTTTCTTCCGACCACCTCTAAAGATAAATGAATATGTTTGGTATTGAATTAAACATGTGAACCCTAATGTAAACTATGTACTTAGGTAATAATAGTTAATAATACATAATAAAATAAATAATAAAAATTTAAAATAATTGCAACAAATGTATCACACCAATGTAAGATGTTAATAGGGGAAACTGGGGTTGGTGGAGAGGGATTTTTTGGGGGACAGTCTATACTTCCTGCTCAATTTTTCTATAAACCTAAAACTACTCTAAAAAATAAATGCCATTAATTACAATAAGACCCATAAACGAACAAATGAAACCGAGATAAACTATGGATACAGAGAACAAACTGATGGTGGCCAGGTGGGAGGAGGATTGGGGGGCTGGGTGAAAAAGGTGAAGGGATTAAGAGGTACAAATTGGCAGTTACAAAATAGTCATGGGGGTGTAAAGTACAGCATAGAGAAGATAGTCAGTCAGTAATGTAATTATGTGTGGTGCCAGGTGGGTACTAAACTTATCGGGGCATCACTTTGTAAGTTATGTAAATGTCTAACCACTATGCTGTACACTGACACTAATATAATATGAATGTCAACTGTAATTGAAAAAATAAAACCCCTAAAAAACGAAGCACCCAAGAAGTGACAGCTAGTGGGAATTGATGAAGAACAGGTGGAAGATGAGGGCAGGAGCAAAGGTGAGAAGTCTAAGTGGGGGGACATGCGTTTGTCTTCAGCCCTCTGTCATTCCTCTCCTCCGTCTTGGAGACAAACTCACCACCACTTTCTCTCCCCCTGCCATATTTACACAGTCACTCTCTCTCCCCTGTGGTTTCCAAGGCACTAGAGCTTGAAATTCACAGAATTTCAACAAAATGGCATTTTCGTATTGAGGATGAGGACACTGACTAATGAACTGAAGGTGGAGATGGGCCCATTTATGGATGGTAAACTCAAGTCAGAAATGGGAGAATTCATACTAGCATAACCAGTGGACACAGACACGGGCTGTGGGGGCTCGCCTGGGGTGGAAATGGCTGGGGGGACGGGGAGGTCAATTGGGGGGAGAGGAGACATATGTAAAACTTTAGGCAATTTTAAAAAATTAAAAATGTGAAACATGACTATATATGAAAATTAAAAAATTTAAAAAAAAGAAATGGGAGAATTCGAAGGATCCAGGATTTTCAGGCAACAGTGTTAGAGGCCCTACATCCAGTTTCTTCTCCCAATTTTAGGCGTGTATAGTTCCCTGAAGACTTACTCCTCTAGAAACCTTTTTAAAGTTGTTATTATTATATTTTTTACTATTTATTTATTTATTTTATTTTTAGAGAGAGAAACATTAATTTGTTGTCCACTTATGTATGCCTTCATTTTATTTTTTGTATGTGCCCTGACCGGGTATCAAACCCTCAACCTTGGCGTATCGGGATGGCGCTCTAACCAACTGAGCTACCTGGCTAGGTCCTAGAAACTTTTTGTTTTCTCTTTCTGATTTCTTTTTGCTTGTTATGAGCCCCTTCCTGGGGCTGAGAGGAGTGAGTGACATGGGAGAAGGGACCCAGGACACCTTTGGCTGTCTGCCAGTAGCGGGTTATAGCACCAGAAAGGAACCTTTATGGCACAATGATGTGTATACTTTTGTACCAGTTTTAGGAGGCACCATATGCCATCATTCCCTATTTTCCAGGCTGCAGTTTCTCATCTAAACCCCTAGATGAGAAATGAAGCCCTAATTCCTATGGTTTAATGCAGGCTTAGAAAGAGATACTATTGTGATAATGAATGTGTCTCATTAGGGTATTGCATTGGAATTAAGAAGGTAAAAACGGAAAAACCGCTCTGATTTTATCTGACTTGCTAGTAGGTTCTATTTTCCCCTTCCTGTACCTGATAAATCCATTGACAAACAACTGTTTTGGCATCTCCTCTCCAGAAATCATTGGCAAAGCTGCCTTTCACCTCCTTGCTTCCCCAGAAGATACAGAGGAATTTTTCCTGATCCAGGTTTGGGTCTGCAGAGACCTGGGTCAGGAAAAGCAGTAACCACCAAGGGGAAGGCCTGTTGGTCAGCATGGGGCAAAGGTGAGGAGGACCGAGCCTGAGCCTGAAGCGGAGGATAAATATTTGTTAATGTTACGTCCTCAGTGTTTTCAGAGGAGTCATCATTTTTGGCTGGGGTGAAAGAGAAAGTGAGATGTAGAAAACGCATTCCATTTAGGGAAGCACCGAGGCAAAGGACGTGCTTGGATGATCTCTTGTTCCTCTGGCTTATTTCTTTCGTGAGCAGGTGAGGATCATTCAAAGCCTGGAGGGCAGGGGTGACGCTATGTTTAGGATAACAAGTTTCCAAGGGCTAAGACTTCCTAGCTCTGACCAGTCTTGGTGTCTCTTCATCTTAAGCCTTTACTTCCCAACCTGACCATCGCTTCTTTCCAGCAGGGCTTTTGCTGCTGACCCACCATGATTCAGGCGGTGCTGCTGCTTTGCTGTATCTCGCTATCCCCAGCGGCTGCCTTTCTAAGAAATGTCCAGAAAGGGGCTCTGACCTCCCAGCTGTGTCTCACAGAACCTGGGCATCCTTCTAACATGCTCTCTAACCAGATCCCAAGACCTGCCGGGATCTCTTGGACACAGCCCCTCTCCTTAGCCCCTCTGCCTATGTACCTATCCACTTGGCTCTGGAGGTGGCCCAGGAGGAGGCTGGCTGCCCAACTGAGGCCCACACTCTGCAGCTTCAGCTTGTTAGTGTGAAAGGAAAGGACCGCTGAAACCCTCATTCGTGAGAGTAAGAAGCACAATGAGGAAGAAGGCATTGGCAATAGTAAGGTCATTCTGTGGGGATAAATCCAACACTCAGATTATCACCCTGAGGAATGTATTTAACTACACCCACTGGGATGGCTGGTCTAGCAGTTCAAATGGTAATTGAGTTTGCCCCAAGTTAAGAAGAGACTCTTAGTGTCTCTGGATGATGACAATGTGATTTATCAAATGTTCAGTTGTTCTGAGGTGCTTTATGGGGAAATTGAGTCCAGCGTTTGTCCAGGTTTACTTCAGATATTCAGTGCCACTTCGGTGATAAGTCTCCTTTACCAGAACCATGTTCAAGGATGGGATATGGTAAGGAGTTAGAAGTTTTGGAGAGCCATTAGGACAAAAGTATTCTCTTTATCCCAGTGCTAACACACATGTGTGGGTGGTATTAGCCTTGCCCGTCTCCATTTAGTAGCTAGCTCTGAGTCTCTATTTCTTAATCCATTTCCTCCTTTCAGCAATCAATATACTGGGCATATAATGTGTTTTAAGCATGAATGGTACTTTAACCTTTTCTCATTCATTTACCTTATACCAAAACCTCAACTAGATGCTGTTGTAGCTTGTTAATTGAATTTTTAAACTGAAAAGAGAAATTTTAAAAAGAGCAAATAGTAGATATATATCGAATTTCTGATTCTGGGTCTCCTGGCATCTCTCATGAGCTAGAGTGGGAACATGGCAGGGACCTGTAGAAAATGCCAAAGCCCCAGCTGGTTTGGCTTAATGGATAGAGCATTGGCCTGTGGACTGAAAGGTCCCGGGTTTGATTCTGGTCAAGGGCACATGCCCGGGTTGCAGGCTCAATCTGCAGTATGGGGTGTGGAGGAGGCAGCCAATCAATGACTCTCTTTCATCATTGATGTTTCTATCTCGCTCTCTCCCTCTCCCTTCCTCTCTGAAATCAATAAAAAAAAATATTTTTTTAAAAAAAATAAAGTTTAAAAAAGAAAGAAAATGCAAAAGAACAAAGTCTTAGGTATTGAGGTCCAGTGTGCAACAAGGGGCAAGGTCTGAGCACCAGTACCAATGGACAAATATTTGCAGAGATTACATCTCTTACTGATCATAGGGGATAGCAAATATGTCCATTATTCATGGGACAGAGAAGTGGGCAGCACTGAATTGAGCAGCTACCCACCTGTCGAGGTAGTCTCACTTCTCAGTGCCTGGACTGAAGTAATTTGGGGGCCCCCTATAAATGGGTGGAAATAAAGCAGAGGAAATCCCTGATAACCTAAAGATAGAGAAGGCCAAGTGCAAACAACTGAGTTGCATTTCCTGTTTCCTAGGCCTTAGCCTAAAAAGAACAGAAGCTTAAAGTAGTTGGAGGAGGTATGCCCTGAGTCCTGGGAACTTCCAGATCACATCTCAGGGAAGCTATGTTTCTGGTTTTCCCCTCTCCAGTGTACGCTGGCCCAGACATGCGTGGCCTCAGACTCATCATACCGCTGGAGCTGCTGCTTTGTTGCTACCTCCTGCTGCACCCTGTGGATGCCATTTCATATGGAAACCAGACAAATATCCTGATGCACCTTCCCTCATCCTTGGAATCCTGGCCACCCTCCTCAGGCCCCTTGCCCTGCCAGACCCTGCTCCCAAAGTCCCTGCCTGGCTTTGCCCATATGGCCCCTCTACCCAAGTTTCTGGTAGGCCTGTCACTGATGATGGCCCTGAAGGAAGCTGGCTGCCATGCTGATGCACAGGCCCTGCAGCTTCAGCTCTACCGCCAGGAGGGTATACATGCTACACAGATCCTCACCCGACATCTTCAACGGCTGGAGAAAGGCAGAAACACAGAGAGGGGAGTGTCAGTGGATGCCCTGGCCTCTGCTCTGCAGCTGTTGGCCAGGGGACAGCTAGGCCCAGAAAGGGCCCGACGCTCCACCATCCAGGACTGCGATTTTGAACAGGAGCAGGATGTGCACAGTATAGTCCAGTGGTTGCCAACAGTGAGAACCTACTACAACCTGGGCACAGCTTTGTATTATGCTACTCAGGACTGTTTGGACAAGGCCAAGGAACGAGGCCAAGATGGGATCATAGACCTGGGTTATGACCTTTTAATGACCATGGTTGGACTGGGAGGGGGGCCCATGGGACTAATGATCAGCACTGCACTTAAACCTGCAGTGAAGGCTGGGGTTGAACGGTTGATCGAGAATTACCATGAGAACGAGGCAGCCCGGCCTATGTGGGTCATTGGTTGAGCAGCGACCTATGAACCAGGAGATTGCAGTTCGATTCTGGCCAGGGCATATGCCCGGATTGCAGGCTCGGCTCGATCGCCAGTGTGGAGCGTGCAGGAGGCAGTCAATCAATGATTCTCTCTTTCCCTCTCCCTTCCTCTCTGAAATCAATAAAAATATATTAAAAAGAAAAAAGAGGCAAACACCTCTCCTCCAGAGACTAGCAAAGAGGGCTTGGGCAGCACCTCTATGGTGGCCGCTTTGGTGTCAGACAGAGTGAATTCAGCTCCTTACTGGGAGTGGCCCTTATTCCAGGACTATGAATATGATCCTGAGAATGAGAGTTTTGGAATATAAAAGGTGGTAAACACAGAATAAATAAATCTAGTATTCTGACTGAGAAGGCTAACCCCTATTTTGTAAAACTACTGTTTGGAATTCTCTACTATTCTTTAGACGGCCTCTTATTCTAAAAAAAATAATAACTTTTCTTTCTAACCTGCTTTAGCCTGCTTGAATAATGAGGAGATAAACTTAGCTGTCTGACCTTGTAGGCTAGAGACTAGATACACCCATACTCTCAATGCCATGCCAGGTGCATTTTTTAATTGGATAGAACTGTGTAGTTTTCAAGGCTACCAGCGAGATAACCACTAAGCACACAGAGGGCTGGCTCTTTCATAAAAAGGGAAGTTCTGCTTGTAGCTCTGCTTAGAATTTGAATTCATTTTCTCTAAGCCCACCGCGGTGAATAAAGTGTAACTCCAAACTCTCTGAGCATTGCTTGATTTATTCTGGCTCTCTGTAACATGACAAGCTGTGTGCAGAATCCAAATTTCTGATTTGTTACGGGCGAGGAAGGCAGTGCTACAAAATGTAGGAGTTTTAAAGTTTGGGGTTTGGAGGCAGAGGGTTTGGTTTTTAATCCAGGCTCCACTTGTTTGAGCCTCGATGATCACTAACCAATAACTTCTTTCTCCAAGCTCAGTTATTAAAATTTCTAAAGAGGGGGATGATACCCTGACCGGTTTGGCTCAGTGGATAGAGCGTCGGCCTGTGGACTGAAGGGTCCCAGGTTCGATCCCGGTCGGGGGCATGTACCTTGGTTGCCGGCACATCCCCAGTAGGGGGTGTGCAGGAGGCAGCTGATCGATGTCTCTCTCTCTCATCGATGTTCCTAACTCTATCCCTCTCCCTTCCTCTCTGTAAAAAAATAAAAATATATATATTTTTTAAAAAAAAGAGGGGGATGATGATTTTCAGTTCTATGGGGTTTGTGGAAATTTTAAAAAGGAACAATGAACCTAAAGCTTTTAGCACAGTACCATCAGTAAATAGTTATTTTGTTATTACTTCAGCCCTCCCCTTCCGATCCCAAAATGTTGAAATTCCGGTCCCACCCCTTCTTATGGAGCCCTAAGCGCTTCCACGGTCGCGAGCTAGTCTCATTTCCTTCTCCGCGGAGCGGGTTCTCGGAAATCAGCAGTTTGAGTCCAGGGCTATTCCATTAATTGGACTCCTCCCTCCGCAGATAGGGGGCGGGGCTTACTGGAGGTTTTCCCACCAATCGCTGGGACTGGAGGTGTGGCTTCCGCTCCGCTGGTCCCGCCCCGCGGAGAGGGAGGAGCTGCGGCGGAGCCAATGAACTCACAGCCTGGGGTCTGAGGGGCGGGAGGCGCTGGTGCGGAGCTCCCGGTGGGGAAAGGAATCCTTGACCAGAGCCACAGGCCGGAGCGGGGCTGAGACCCCCACCAGGTACGGACCCGAGAGGGCGCGCGGGAATTGGGGGTGGAGGCACGAGTTACCCCCTGGGAAGTGCGCCTGGCCCGGAAGCTATGACACGGTGAAATAGGCGCTGTCAGGGAGCTATGACCCGGTGAAATAGGCGCTGTCAGGGAGCTATGACCCGGTGAAATAGGCGCTGTCAGTCATCTGCTGCAACCTGGTCACCCCCATCTTGTCGGGTTTAGGTCCCCAACTGTAGCCCCCACCCCTCCACTCCCCCAAGCCCCCCTACAACCTCCAAGACCCGGAACTTGACATTGTTGCATTGGTTTACTGCCTTGCCAACGCTTTTACCTCTGGCTTGTGATACTTTTGATTCTCATTCCCACACACACCCCCCCACGAAAGTCAATGTCTAAGGGTAGATACGATTTATCATCCTTATTTGTTATGTTAAAAAGTATAATATACAGCCCTGGCCGGGTTGCTCAGTTTGTTAGAGCGTCCTCCCCATACGCGAAGGTTGCGGGTTCCATCTCCGATCAGGCACATACAAGAAGCAACCAATGAATACCTAAGTGGAACAAACATTGATGTTTCTCTTTCTCTCTTCCTAAAATCAATTTAAAAAAATTAGAAGATAAAGCCCTGGCCAGTGTTCTCAGTGGTTAGAACGTCCACCCCCACACCGAAGGATTCCCGGTGAAGGGCTCATACCTGGGTTGTAGGTTGGATTCCTGGTTGGACGCCTGTGGGAGGCAACCGATGGAAGTTTCTTCGCGTCAATGTTTCTTTCTAGCCTTTCCTCTCTATAAAACTCAGTAAAGACATACCCGCCACCCCCAGCCCTAGCCGGTTTGGCTCAGTGGATAGAGAGTCTGCCTGCGGACTGAAGGGTCCCGGCTCCGTTCCATTCTGGGTACATGTCTGGGTTGCGGGCTCGGTCCCCAGTGGGGGACGTGCAAGAGGTAGACAGTCAGTGGTTCTCTCCCATCATTGATGTTTCTGTCTCTCTCTCCCTCTCCCTTCCTCCAGAAATCAATAAAATAAATAAAATAAAATAAAGTATCCAGGCTGGAGGTCTTAGTGGTCGACCTATGAACCTGGAGGTCTCGGATGGATTCCCGGTCAGGGCACCTAAAAATATATATACATATTAAAAAAGAAACATCCTCGGGTAGGATTAAAAATAAATAAGTAAAGATAGGTGATTTTTTAAAAATATATTTTATTGATTTTTTACAGAGAGGAAGGGAGAGGGATAGAGAGTTAAAAACATCGATGAGAGAGAAACAACGATCAGCTGCCTGCTGCACGTCCCCTACCGGGGATGTGCCTGCAACCAAGGTACATGCCCTTGACCGGAATGGAACCTGGGACCTTTTAGTCCGCAGGCTGATGCTCCATCCACTCAGCCAAACCGGTTAGGGCAAGATAGGTGATTTTTTAAAAAAAGGTTTGTTTGTTTTCATATTTAAACCTCAGGGTTTGCTTGTTGCCATACTCTTTTATCCTCTTTGTTTTTTGTTTGTTTTCCTGTTGTTTCTTATACTGCCTTACTCTTTTAATAGCCAATTCGCAATTCATTCCTTGAGAACTGGAGCCTCTTCTTCTTTTTTTTTTTTTTAAGCAATACAGGTATACATAGTTTTAAACGTCAAGCATTACTAAAAGGGTTAAAGTGTAAAATAAGAGCCCCTGCCCAATCCTGTCCTTCCCCTGTTCCTAATTCCTAGAGGTAGAAAGGCAGCTCATAATTATTCATACTGGTGGAAACAATTTCTCCCCCCCTAAAATTTTTCTTTCATTTATAATAAAATCATATGACATGTTTAGACCACAGATGTGCATGTTTGTTCTTTTCTGTAAGGTTGAGGTTGCAACAAGAGTAAGTTTTCATTTCCTAAACAGACAGATGGCAGTGGGTGGGGCAAGTTAGGGAGAAAGATTTTCTGCCTAGTCTACTTGATGACAGGCAAAAACCAGTTTTGAATGAAGTTTGTAAGTTTCTGACAAATTTGATAACCCACATGAAGACTCAGAGATCAACAAAGATCATAAAAGGTGACACAATCTTAGGGATTGAATGACCTCTTGCACAGCTTTTCTTTTTATTTTTTAAAATATTTTTATTGATGTCAGAGAGGAAGGGAGAGGGAGGGAGGGAGAGAGAGAAACATCAATGATGAGAGAGAATCATTGATCAGCTGCCTCCTGCACACCCCACACTGGGGATCGAGCCCATAACCCAGGCATATGCTCTGACTGGGAATCCAACCGTGACCTCCCAGTTCATAGGTCAATGCTCAACCACTGAGCCACGCTGGTCAGGCCCCTTGCACAGCTTTTAAACATCTAGAATGGAGCTCTTTCTTCCTACTTGGAGAGCAGTTTATAGAGTACTAGAGGACCAGTGCACTCAGGTGTGGGGGGGTCCCTCCGCCCAGCCTGCGCTCTCTAGCAGTCCAGGAGCCCTCAGGGGATGTCCGACTGCCAGCTTAGGCCTGCTCCCCACACTGCCTTAGCTCCCACAGCCGCCGCTGTGCTCTCCTGCCATGAGCCCGGCTTCTGGCTGGGCGGTGCTCCCCCTGTTGGAGCATACTGACCACTAGGGGGCAGATCCTGCATCGAGCGTCTGCCCCCTGGTGGTCAGTGTGCGTCATAGCGACCGGTCATTCCACCGTTGGGTCATTTTGCATATTAGCCTTTTATTATATAGGATACTAGCGGCCCGGTGCACAAAATTCATGCACGGGTAGGGTCCCTAGGCCTGGCCGGCAATCAGGACCCATCAGGGCCTTCCGGCTGCCGGCCGGGGCCTTCCTTCCCCAGCTGCCAGCCACCGGCCAGGGCCTTCCTTCATTCCGCACCACCCCCTGGTGGTCAGCGCATGTCATAGCGAGCGATCGAACTCCAGTCTCCCTGTCAAACTCCCAAGAGGACACTTTGCATATCAGTCTTTTATACATATAGATTTTATCTCCAAGGAGGTTTCAGCCCCTAATAAAGCTTTGGAGCGAGCAGGGATCATGCTGAAATAAATACTTATGACCCACACTATCTTTAAATGCTCTAGCATAAACAAATACAAACATACCTATATATATAAAAGCCTAAGCAGCCAGTTGACCATTCGACCATTCGACCAGTAGCTATGATGTGCACTGACCACCAGGGGCCAGATGCTCAATGCAGGAGCTTCCCCCTGGTGGTCAGTGCGCTCCCATAGTAGGAGCACTGCTCAGCTGACCAACGGGCGCCAAACGCTGGGGTCATGGCTGGCGAGCGCGCGCTAGTATTGCCTTAGGACAGGTGTGTGGAGACCGCAGCGGAGTGGCAGCGAGCCTACCAAGCGG